ATATTTTTTTGTTATAGAGGAATCATCTGTAATTTTGAAGTTAAATAATTTCAAAAGTACTTACAATGAATAGTAATAGCATTTATTTTATAAAGAAATCAACATATATTCACTTGAAAAATCTAACCCCTTATTAGCAGACTCAGTGTGTGTATCCAGACTCAGTGTGTGAGAAAACTACAATTTCTGCTAAATTTGTTTAAGAAATAAGAGCATTAAACCAAGTTTTCTGCAATGTCTGAGTACCGGAAGATCCTCACTGGTATTTCAACTCAAATTGAAAAAATAATCTGGATTTTTTTTTTTTTAATGTAAATGGGGTGTTTACTGCATGAAATGGCTTTGAAGGTTCAATTTCTTGGTCCTTCTTCAGAATATTCTTTGTATTTCAAGCCTGCTCCCTATCCAGGAAGGTCTGGCAATGCCTACCCCTACCTTGTTCAGCAAGGCTCACTATCCATCAAAGGGCTGTGAAGCACAATGAGGACTGAAAACTTTCAAAATTAGACCATTGAATTAGATGCTTAAGCCTACATATTTAGAAGAGTAGGTTAGGACACCTGTAAATACAGAAATATTATCCCCAGTTCTCTCATTCTGCTTTATACACAGTTGGAAAACCAAAGTGAAAAGAATCCGGTCAGTTTAGAACTGTCCAGCAAAAAGAACATATCCAAGGGTAGAATAAGACATAAATACCTTTTTCATCAACCAAAAGCACTTTCACAAACATGAGTTGCCATTCAGAATGTCAGATAAGTCTTGATCTATACCCATTCTAGGATTGGGTAATCTTAAGCATCCCTTAAACCTGATGCAAACTTGATGGAATGAGGAAGTCAAACAGCCTATCCCAGTGCATCACAGACAAGCTGCACAGCATCACAGACCATATTAAAACATTTGACATATCATCAGCTTAAATCATTAGGCAGGGTAGCTTAACTCTTGAGAGCTGTGAAATACCCTTTTCATTTTGAAAAAAAAAAAAAGTGTTTAATGTTGAAAATTAGATCATGCCTTTTTTCCTTTCTGTTTTTAGTTGCCAATTTTAGCACAAATATATAGATGCAACGTCAAAAGCTTCTGTTGCAATATGTTGCCATGGAGATTTCACCACACAGGACAAAATGACCAAAATTTGTAGATATAGAATATAAACACTTGTAAGTTGTAAATTAATCATCCACTTTCAGTAGTTTAAAACTGAAAAAAATTCATATAGGCATTTTATTATACATTCCAATAGTTTCATGCATTTTATTCAAATTAATTTATTATACAGTTACATTCTAATTTTAATATAGTATTTTTCTATTTACTCTTTTCAAGGGAATTAACTGTGCAATGCATTTTCAAATAATTAGAAAGCTAATTAGACTATAACTAAAATTAGAAAAGCAATTTTTAGGCAAGAAGGTTATGTGATTCAGCACTCTGGTCTCTGAGTAGTGATTAATGGTCCCAAGCAAACCATGCACTTTGTGAACATATGGGTTTCACTGGCAAGACATCAGTAATTTTAAAACAAAATAGATCAATAGCTATTTTAAAGTTAGAGGAACTTAAAAAAAAAGATATTCTATTTCTTCAGAATTCATATTTTAAAATGGAAACAGGAAGCTTCTGGTTGCTGTATTGATGTACATAACTATAACCTATCTTAGATAAAAAAATTTGCATTTTTATTTTATATGAGTACTATAAGTGTAAACAAGTTAGAGACATGTCATATACTTTACACATGGAAATTTCAGAAGCCTCTTCTTTTCTAAAACTCACATGTCTTTGCATAAACAGTGCTATTCTAGAGGATTTATAAAGCTGTATGAAATCAAAATGATAGCAGTACAGCTCCTTGGCTACATTGCAACTTTTCATCTTGCTGGTAGTTGTTTTCTGTGAGATTTCTCCTAACTTTTAAACTGAAGAGAAGTGAAATCCATACTCATTTGTCTAAATGATGTCATGTGCCAAGTGTAATTATTCTAGAACAGGCCATCTTTTGTCCAGAGAAGGTTTATTTTGAGAAAATGTTGCTTTGGAATTGCAGTGTACCACTGAGCCTGTCGTATCAAAGAGAAATAGGTCACAGGACAGCTACACCGTGCAAGGTATGTTCTGTATTATGTATCTGTATTATGAATGCAGCACTGTCATAACAGGGACTGTCCTCCTGCTTAGTAGTCAAAGAGTAAATAAATCTATTGGTAATGTGAGAAACCAAGCTACACTGAAGTTTGAGTAACTCTGATTTTAGGATTCCCGTATATTTGTGGAGTCCTAGAAACTGCAATAACACAATAAAATATTTACAAAGAATTAGAGCTGTGTATTAATAGAAAAAAAAATTAGCAAGAATGTGGCTAAAGGGGTTTACAGAGCTTTACCTCTCCTCAAGATATGCATGTTTCATGCACACCAATAAGAAATGCTGACAAACTCCAAGAAAGTACAGAGAAACATTTTTATCATCATCATTTCTTCTTCTCTTTATCTGTAGGAGATATTCTAAGTCAACCATCTGTTTGCATAATTGCTGATGAGCCTCATGCCTTCCCTAACCTGCACATCTGTTAACCTCCACAAGGGAAGATGAAAAACTTTAAATCGGGTGCCTTATAAAATTTGGAAAGCATACAGTTTGTCCATTTTGTTTACAAGAAATGTATACTACACAAATAATAAGATGCTACATATAACATGTTTCTACGGATATCAGCAAGACCTGCATATACACAACAGCTGAAGAAATAGATTCCTCTGCAAAGCTGTGTAATTCACATTCCCATAATTACTATGGTATCTGATTACCTCAATATTTAGCCTTTGTTTTGTTTTTGTTTTAGTTTTTTAGTTTTTAAGGATAAAGGGACAGCAAAACTCTACCATCATTTTCTGTAAGTTAGGAGGTCCTGAACAGATGTCAGGTTACCCAGCAATACGTCATGAAGCATTTTCCTGTACCTATCCTGTAAGTATGTACAGAGTAATTCTACTTTGGTTGCACTTCGTAAAAGAGATTTTTTGAATGTTTTTCTACGGTATACTGATGACTTTTAAAATTACTAATTCCAACTAAAAACTGAAATAAAAACTTTTTATGTACGAATATGCTGCTTTTTATCATTTTACTGAATCTTCTTTCAGCATTTAAAAATTGCAAGCAAGAAAAACATTTCTTAAAAATATATTAATTGATTAGCAAGTATGTTGACAGGCTACTGCAAACTTACTTGACGAAGCAGCTAATTCTGCTGGATACCATGTCCAAGCATATCAAGGACAAGAAGGTGATCAGGAGTAATCAGCACAGAGTCACAAAGCGGAAATCCCATTTAACCCACCTGAGTGCCTTCTATGAAGAGATGGCTGACAAATATTGATAGGGACACAAAGCTAGCTTTTGAGACAGATATAATAAGAACTTCCTTAACTTGGCAGTGTTTGATGCATTTGATAAATTTCCGTGGATTTTTCTTGAATGAACTTGTTTACATCTAGATTTGTAAGCTTTATTATCCACAACCAGTGTAAACACAAGTTGAAAATGAACCGATTTTATTTATTTTGAACTTGCCTTTTACTACCTTACTTTGTTACTTTATTGCAGGAGACACTGAACAAATCCTCTTTATATTCTCTGTGTCGCTCTTAATTTTATAGACTTTTTCATGTCATAGTCATCTCTTTTGAGAAAAATGATCATTTATTCCTACTCTCTGATTCTTGTCTCTGAAACTCATCATGAAAAAACTTATCAAATGCGTTTGGAAATCAAGGTAGATTCTACCAGCTGCATCGTGTTAGCTGAAACCTTCAGAGATATCCAATAAGCTTTCAAGGAAGAACATTGCTATAAAAAAGCCATATTAATTTTCCAAATATATCACACACATTTAGATATATGATACTTAAAAAATTAATTACTATTGTAACTTCTATTAATTTCCACAGTATAACCCTAAGGCTTAATGGCATATAAAATCTGTTTTTTAGAAATGGTGTCCCATTTGGTCCTCTCTAATCACCAGTTAACAAGAAAGTATAAAGGTTTCACACCACTGGTAGTGCTTACCCTGGTTTTTGTCCATAAGTCTGAGTGACTACAAGATGGTGCTGGTGACTTGTAAATATTCATTCAACTGTTTTTCATAAACCCTTTTTTGACAGACAGATCCTCCAATGAGTCCCATACAAAGAGAGGTTCTGGCATGGAAACTACTGCAGTTTATGCCTATTCTCTGTTTTTTATCTTTTAATGAAATTCAGCTAAATTAAGGAACCGAGCAGAAGTTAATGGACAAATTTTGGCTCTCAATGTATCTCCAAATAAACTTCCTATTTTTCAAGCAATAATGAAATCTGTTCATTTGCAATTATTAAAAACTATCAATTGGCTAATTTGGAAGTAAATCAATTATCAATTCAATTACTTCACAGAAATGATTTCTTGTAGTCAATAACTCCTCTATAGCATGATTAGCAGTGAAGCTGATAAGCCAGCAACATCATCTACAACAGCAGCATTTATTCAGAAACAGGTTAGCTTTAGAAATAAAATGTTTACTTTTAAGATTAATAACAGATCATGGAAACTGCCTAAGCAACAGACCAACAATGGTGTATTTATACAATCCAGAAATTAAAGCTAAAATGCAGTAACGTTTCACTGTTCTAAAAAATGTGTATTTGAAAAGTAAAGATTTTCAGTTCTCATATAGAAATAACTAGTCTAGTTTTCAAAGCTTCTGACAAAACTGAAGAGTTTTTCACCATGCTAGGCCATGTCTACACATCTCTATTTAATCCATTTTCTCTACAAACAAAGTCCCCAGCAGTTTTAATTGACTCAGAGATGTTACACTTCAGTCTCCCAAATGTGTCACTCACCTCAGCTGTCTCTTTCCTCAAATGTCAATCTTCCTGAGAGAGTTTTCTGCCCTCTAAACTGAAGAGTGGGAGGTCACAGTTTGGGAATGGAGCATAAGGATTCTTACCTGCTGCTTTGGCAACATCTGCAGATGAAATATTCTGGAGGTTTGAGTGCACCCTGAAGGTCACAGCTGGTCCCAGGATGCTGAAAGAGATTATTAAAAATGTAAGACTCATAATCAAGAGACATGGCATAATATTCCTTATCAAAATAGGTTTTTAAGGAGAAACTATTAAGACACCATTTAGCCCTCTTCCTTTTGCTTCATTAGCTACATTTGCATACATTTTTATACCTCTTGTGTTTCTTTTTTTCAATATCTTGGGTCTGAATAATTTCAGGGACATTAACTAAACTTTAGAACACTCTTGTAAATATTCCTACTATGAAGATGGCAAAATGGAAGCACATAAATTAAGTCAGTCACACAGATACAGCATAAAACATAACTGGAATTCAGCATCCAAAGATTACATGTGCTTTTGAATTTTATAAGCTTTATGTCAATACAAGCTTAGTCCTCTTATCATGACTATAAGTCTATGAATCCTGCCTTACAGAAAGACAATAAAGTTCAGATTTTTGATCTTGATCCTATTCTGCAGAAACACATGTGAGGAAAAGGACATTTTGAACAAATCTGTTTATTCAATCAATTTAAACAATGGTTGAAAACTGAAACTTACACAGATTTTGTCCAGGAAGATGTCACAAAATATTAATATTAATCTTTTAACAACAAAGATGATCGTCTATTGGAATAACTTATGAAGGGAAATAATGGACTCTCTGCTGACCTTTTTGGGTTGAGCCTGATGGCTCTCTATGGCATCAAAATCTATAAAACATTTAATGAAACAATTACAAAATAGCAGGATGAAGAATGACAGGGTAAATTTAGGATTTGACTTTTTTTTTTTTCACTGTATTTTTAAAGAAAAATAAAACTATGTAAGTAATTTTGCATTCAGTTGCCACTGAGCCCAATAATGCCAAACCTACATAGTAATACTTAAAAGTAATCAAGTAAAAAAGCTAAGCTCTGAGATCTTTAATATAGTAGAAGTACTTTCTTAAAATCCAATTAACAAGACCCAGTAGAAACTACAATGTATATTAAAAGAAATGCAGAGTACAATGGCTGAACAAATATGAAAATTGGCACTATAACAACAGTTTACATCTATATTGTTTATTATGTGAGTTCTTAGGTTGCTATTAATGACATAATCAGTAAGATGAGTTATATTTGTACCACAAACAATAACTCTGCTTCAGTCACCACTGAAGTACATTACCTAGAACCACATATGAAACACCTTCTTTCACCTTCTATAGCTGTGGTTTATAAGAATGTAATCTTACAGGTTGCTACCTAAAAGAAATATGTTTTTTAAAAAATCAGGGATTAAAATGTCTGCATTTTTTTTGTAATTTTTTGTATTTTTTGTAATTGAGAGCCCTTAGTGAAGTGTGCATAACTGAATAACATATGTCCTATACATAAATACTTTTAAATTTCTTAATTTCTAGAGAAAAAAAAAAAACATACGACTTTGCTTAGAGGTCACAAAGGGAATAGAGTAAGACTAAGGAGCTTAATCTTATACTAGGCAAGGCTGTGCACATTTTATTTTGAAGTTAACAAAATCTGTCATTAATTAATCTTTTTTCTCTAAAAGCTTTTCTGGGAGTGGAAGGGAGCGGGAAAAGAAAATAGAAAAATTGTATTGTTAAAGGATGCTCCAGATGCCATCATTAATGTGGAATAAATATGTTTTAGTAAATAATAAGGAGTTATGGAGCATTTACCAGCATCATTTAGATAGTTCTTTTTGATATTTGCATATGTGATATAATTGCATAGTATGTTTTGAGATACATAATGAAAAATTAGAAAATGAAAAATTAGACCATTCACACATTCTATTACTAAAGATAGTAATAGAAGGTGAGATAATCAACCATAAAAAGAACATAGGAGTTTCCTGAGACTACATACTGAATATAATAGAGCTCCTTTTATACTGCCAGCCTAAGAGCAATGATGAGTCCCCTTCAGTTGCTTTAATGCTTACAGTGTCATCAGCAGCACTCTTTAAATAAAAGCAGACACCAAGCTAGTATGCATGGGGCCTATGACAAGGACAAGATAAAGAAACAAATTCATATTACCCCCCAAATTTACATCATGTTTTCTGTCATAGTCAAGCACCTGAAATTAATGCTAACTCCACTTTGACTTCACCAGCAAAGACAGCATAAGTTTCCTCCTGCTTCTCTCCCTGTCTCTTTCCCAGAGCTCACTCCTATGGAGCCCAGTTGGGCCTCTACATGGATCACTGTGATTAGGCAATTAGCAGCATCATTAAAATCTTATTGTTTAAAAACTGCTTCATTCCAGTGATCCAACCCCGCAGTGTGAATAGGAATTTAAAGCATGGGATTCTTGATATTTGAGAGTGCCTGGGACTATCCCACCAACTCTGCCTGGATAATCCAGCAGTAGACACATCATACCTGCTTACACATTGAAACAAGCAGTATAATTTTGTTGCTTGTGTGACGAGAAAATGTGGGGAAATAAAGAGATAAAAAAATCAGGTAAGGAAAAAAAAATCCTTGCGGGACTCTGATGATACTGGTTAATAACCCATTCTTTTGCAGAAGAAATCTAACAAACTTTTAAGATGTTCATTCATATATTACCATATGGGATACTGCTTTGTTCTGCAGTAATAACTAGACAGTGGAACTTAAGAAGGATCTGCCAGGTGACAGTATAAGCACAATTTTGCTAAGAATATTTACAAAAAATGGAAAATAAAGCAGTTCTTGTCACAACTTTTCATACATTGATATTCTACTGATTATTTAAAAGTGAACAAAAGAGCTTGAGATTACTTAGCCAAAATTACATTTCCGCTGGATGTTTTGGGAACTGACTGCTTGAGGAGCTCATAAAATGAGATTTTTCTCATGAGGGGTTTCTGGCAAAAGCACTCAATAAATAAATATTTTAATAACAATGGATGCCCTCTGGGAAATCCCTCACTGTTCATTGTGTGTTGGACAAGAACATTCAAACAAAAACAGTAATTATTTGAATGAGAAATATATATAAAACTCGTAACAAGAAAGCAACCAGACTGAAAGAAGGTTCCAAGTCGTATTAAACATACGCCTGATACTTACTGCCCAGGACCTTTAAATTATATAGATAAGACAGCTTTTCATGATGCTGTCAAACTCTGTGCAGCCTAGCTAGTATTAATGGCAATTGTCTTTACACCCCTCTAAACACTGCAGCTTACTGAAGTGCAAACTGTTGTTTACAACCTGATGAATGGCAAACAAACCTCTCCCACAAATCACGGAGGATTTGGCTGGTTAGAAGGGGCATCCCCCCTTTGGGGTGGATTACATCCCGCGGGCGCTCCGAGTGCCGTGCACACAAGCTGACAGCAATCACACATACAAAATGCAATGCCCAGCCTGAAATTTAAAATTAACCTAAAGCATCAAATGGAGCATTTCTCCTGCTATAACATCGAGATCAAAAATGTTAGGTAGTGGCACATTTAATCTCTAAATACAACATTTTATGTAAGGTTTTAAGCTTAGCAATTCTCCCCCCAAGGGGAGAGTTTTTTGTAATACTCTGTTATGTTTTTTGAATAAAGGTAAGCAAATTTGGCTTCAAGGCTAATAAACAGTGACTTCTCTCCCCACAAAATATAATGTCTGATGCAATGACCTGCTACATTTATTACTTGAAATTTACTGACTAATTACCCCCTCTGTTGGCTGTCAGAACTTCTTTTTTTCATTTCAATAATGTTGCCTTCAGCCATAATAGTGTTTTCTTTTTTTAACAAAGACATTCAAAGCATATTGCAAATTGTCACCCTTATGTGCTGTTGTTTTATATGCTGTTTACTAGAGATGAAATAATTACAGTGTTTATACCAAAATGACTTGAAGGTTGATTGCTGATTTAATAATATTCCCCTCCCTATGGGTTTAGTTTTCCTATCTGAAGGTGGGAGGGAGCATAACCTTCACAGAAAGAAACAATATTCATTGTGAAAATAAAAATATTTCCTCTTATTAATTATTTTACAGGGTGAAAGCATTCTTACTATATTGTGTCTGTCAACAAATGAACGGCCTCAATAAACAGAGCTGGAGCATGATCAATATGGCAAGGTCCATATAACTTTCAAGCCTTAGGTTATAATTATATTTATGAATGGCAGGATTTAAATCTCCATAAATTATGTATCAAGCTTTGCATGCCTGTTTTTCTCCCTCCTGTGTGTCTGCTTTAGTACTACAGTATCATACAGAAGGGTTACTAAGAAATACAGTCACAGTCTATCATACCCCCTAGTGGAAAAGGATTTGAGAAACAAGTGCCAACATGGTTATGTTTATTCTTGAAGATGAGACATAGAACTGATGCCAGATGGAAAAAAGTTGAGGTTGTACATTAAAAAAAAAAAAAAATAATAGCGGAGTGAAATTTCTTGAGACTGGGTGAGCTTGGGGGGATCAGGATTGGTGATTTCCAACATTAAACATTCTGTTAATGACCCCATTTTGTAAAATAGAATTTGCCTTAATAAAGCTTATATTTGAAATTAGAATCACCACTTGTCTATATGTTCATTTCAAAATCCTTTAATCTCTGGGGGTTAAGAAAAGCAATTAGTAACGCTCCAGAGGACTGTGCAAAGTAAATTTTATAGCAGCAAAGGTAATTGTCTCAGGAAGTGTTTGGTGGACTTGAACTAATGACATACAGTATGTACACATTTCTGAGCTTATTGTGGAATTTGAAGCTCATGTCTATTGTTAATGTTGCACTGATATCTCCTTTCTACCTTCTTAATGCTGGAAAAAATAAAATGCATGCAATTCTGTAAATGCATTATATATTATACATATTCATATATAAGTATACTTTGATCAAATCGAGAGAAAAAAAAATGTTACTAATTGAGGTATTTTCACAATGCAGTAGGTCTGTTACAAACCATGACTTGCAGAGCAAAGCAAAGGCAGAGACCCATTGGCCAGTTCAACCAGATCTCACCAGTATTTTTAACCAAGTTTTAGTCTATAGATCATTGCTTTATACT